CGTGTGTGTGTGCCAATATTGTATAGGCCGACGCGCGCTCGGTATGCATACATATTGCACGAGATCGCTGGGCGCGAACGACGTGCTCGAGACGTACATATCGAATAATAATATGAATTATTCAGCCACGAGGATTCGACTGCGCTACACGTGCGAAATTTCGAAAAGCAATATACATCATAATGTGTCAGAGATAAAGAGACACACGAGCAGCATCGCGAGTGAGCGCAAAACTGCTCGCATTAATCTTCGATTTCAAGAGTACGAGACGCGCGGAGGCTTACGTAAGGCGGCGCGTTACTATTATAGTAGTACAAAACGCGCACATGCGGCTAGTATACACAGAGGCTCGGATTAATAAACACAGGGAATAAATACAAAGTCACTTCGATACAATGTTGATGTTACATGAGGTATATAGGAAAGCAGTCGGCTTATTGTGTGCACCTGTCGCGCATCGGCGCTTGCGAGTAAAAATTTCTGCACAGTCCATTGACCATATACTTTACCACTACTATTCAACTACTGTATACATGCAGTCGTGTGTGTTAGTTTGCCGATACGGCTGCATATGTGTCTATAATATCTTCGTGTACGCGGAAATTGAGTTCGCTCTACTTTTCTTTTTCGCACACACATGTGTGTGTGTGTGCGTGTGCGTTCTGTTATTGTGTGTATATATCCACACGTATCGGCAACTCTTCGTCGGTCAGTCGATAATTTACAACTATATAATACGACGACGACGACGACGACGACGAAATATCATTACGTAAAACGGACTTGTGCGAGGAGCGAGCAAGCGAGCGATACGCGTTATCGGGCCGCCGATTCCACCATCTCTATTCGCACACGCGCGGCATCTGCTACAAACTCGACGAGAGCTGCGTATATAAAATAGAGCGAGGATAAAGAGAGAGAGAGCAATAAAGTTAATCTTTTCTTTCCTCCCTCGGCGTGCGAGATGCGTCTATATCTATAGGACCCAATTAAATAGATTCGCTTGCGCGTCGACGACTTTTTATTCGCACCTCCGAGTAATATAATGATATAATGCACGAATCAACATTACAAATCTTGCGTATCTCGCGAGGCAGAGGCTTATAAATGCAGTTGGTTTTTCTCGATATATGCTCGTCTTATCAAGTACTAGTAAGAGTGGAGAAAGAAGCGAGGAGATGACAGAAAAACAAAGATATATCTTGAACGGTCGATTATGCTTTTAATGGCACTCGTTGTATCGATTAAACGATGAGGGTAATTATTACCGAGTAAATATATTTTTTATATATAAAACAGCGCACGGGGCCGCATGGTGAAATGGAGAGAAGAGACTTTGCGCGACAAAACTCGAGGCAGCAGTAGTCGTCGCATCGTCTTGGCTGCTGCTGCTGTGCAGCGTGCCTTCTTCTATAATTAGCCTCTCGCGCGCGCGCGCGGACAAACCCTTTGGCTTCCTCCTTCCTATATATCGGCGCGTGCAATGCCGTTCACGGCCTGTAGCGATCATCTCTTTTCTCTATTTCTCTCTCTCTCTTTCTTATAAACACAGCGAGAGTCGCGTTATATATTTTCCTTTGCAATATTACCGACCGGCTATAATAGCTTCCGGTCGCGCTCGACTTTTCAAGGAGCAGCAATCGCTGCCGCTGCCTCTGCCTCGCTTCTCCTCGATTTTTACCTCGGGAAAATTTTACTCGAGTTGCGCCGCGCGCGAGTATACCGTTCGACGACGAGCTGCGCGCCGATTTAAAACGTATTAAATCGTCGTTTTACGCTCCTCTCGTAATTTCCACGGATTTGATATATATATTTAATCCAGCATCTCAACGGCTAAATCGGCGTGTACGAGAAAGAGAGAGAGAGAGACATTACGACATCCTCTTGCATGCGCATGTCCGTAATGTGCGAAGAAAAAGGGTTGCTCGCTTCATAGACGCGCGGCCACCAGGACAGCGTGAATCATCATCTCGAGTGAATTGGAACCAAGTAGCGAACTTACGAAGACAATACTCGCTCTATAGCGACTCGTTTCGAAACTTTTGACGACGTTCGCTAATGTATACACGTCTTTGTTTACATTTCCAGTTTCTTCTGGTTTAAAGATCCTACATATATACATCTTGGCATTTCTTTTGATGCGTCTGCTGAATAAATGGCCACGATGCTTGGAAAGGAGGTCTGGGCAAAGATCCGCGCAGGTACTGCACTGCAGCTTCCGATACACAGCGCGGCATTGTTTCCTCCAGCGCAGGTGACCTGATTGAGTCTTCTTTCATTTTTATCGATCAATCTCGGGAGTAAAATAGTCTCATTTTTTTCCCCTCTTCACTTCGTCGCACTCGGCTTTAAAAACTCTATTCAATATCCCAAGTATAGCACGAGAAATGAAGATGAAGTAGAAGAAGAAGTGGTAATAGAAACTTCAGGCCGGCTCAATTAAACAAATGTACTCGAGGCGCCGGAGTCGAGCGGTGCAGCTATACTATATAGCTCGGAGCGGCTCGGTGCGATGAACCGAGCGGCCCTCCCTTCGCCGTGGCGCAGCGAAATGCGGGTCACACTCAAATAGACTAAAACTACTTTGCGTTAAATCGTATATAGCTTTTGTACGTGCATGTGCGAGAGAGAGCAAATCGAGGTGTACTTTTTTGAGAGCTATACGCCGGCAAGAGGCGCTGCGCTGTGCACTGCCCATCGACGAGCGAGCAAATTTATAACTCGAAGAATCTCGAGAATCACTCCTCAAGAGGTCGAGCGAGAATCTTGGAAATGTGTGTGTGTATAGTAATATATATCGCGAAAGGCGAGTGCATGTATGTATATATGCGCGTTCGCGTGTGTCTGTGTGAGCGTGTTAAAGTGAATAAGCAAAGCAGCAGGTACGGGTCGATTCCGAGAACGCGAGAGCGAAGAGAGAAAGAGAGATATAGAGAGAAAGAAACAAGCAACGCGCGCGGGGCAACATTGATAGAAGTTCTAATGCTCGCCTCTCTCTATATATAATATCTATCTGGGCCGCTACGATACGCGCGGGCTGCACTTTTAGACGTACTGTTACGATATGTAATTTTGCACGCACGCGCAAGTACTGCACTTCGTGTATATTTGCGCGTTTGTGCACGCGTATTTTTTTTCCTTCTTCTTCTTCTTCATCGTGCGACGCGTGACTGCCCTTTTCCGTCGTCTTCCGGCGTGAAATACAAAATAGAATATAATAACTAGCAAGGGGTCGAGCATAGTCGAGCGGCAGCAACTATATATATATATGTGTGCTGGCTCAGCGAGACAAGACAAGTGTTGCTATGTAGGAGAGGAGGAGAGTAAAAGAGAGAGAGAGAAAGGAACGAGAGCGCCGGCGAACACCGGTCAAACTCCCAGCGAATAAAGAAGTTTATTATGTATTATATCTCTCTGCTTGTTTTTTCCATCATATTTAACTGTATGCGAGAGCGAGAGAAATAGATAGAGAGATGGACGCCGTTCATTAAGAGATTATTCCCCGTAGCCTCTCTCGACGCTGGTATATCTGATTTTCTCTCCGACTACGGAATCGAATTTCGTATGTTTCACGCCATTTTTTTTTTTGCGATATAACCGTACAGATATATGTATGCTGTTGCGAAAATTACAGGGCCGAGGCGTGCCTTCGTAATGCTCGCGTGGAATCGAACCGAGTATGTGTTTGAGAGAGAGAGAGAGAGAGAACGGCGGAAATCGAAACTATATATTTTATGTACACTTGTGGCTAAGATATATATTATGCCTATCTTGTCTTTATGGAATTCAAAACCCACTCGCGCGCGAGCTTCCAGTTATGTCTCTTTCTCCGTTTTTCTCCCTATTACGAGAAATAGTATTTTATACACAAGTGGACGGGACATTAACGCGACAAGTGCAGCCCGACGAGCGTTTACGCTGATGATGCGCCATAATCCAGCACGAACACATTATTACATACATACGTATACATATTTTAAGTGGCCACACGTTTGAGACGCGCACACGTGTGTAGTGTTTTTTGTTTTTTTTACCACCGTGCTTGCTCTCGAGTAGTTTCTTACATACGCTGTAGTACGTAGAGAGAAGAGCAAGGTCAGCAGCCGACGAAAAATCCGAGATTACAGTCCATTACGAGAGTAATTACGATTCGCAGATGAACGTTTAATTGTATTGGCTCATCGTTTTATGGAGCGATGTATACATCTACATCGTCACTCGATTACAAATCCGTGCCCGAGACGTTCTCGTTCGTATTAGAGCTTTACATTATGTACAAAGGGAAAAATGTGTATAACGATAGATAAGAGATAAACCATTCGATATTGCATGAACTCTATATATATACGCGCACACTTTAATACCATGTTTGCTTGGGCCGTTGATAGCCGATAATGCGCGCAAACGACAGTAATGTGAAGTGCAAAAAATGAAGGCGTATTTATATAAAGTGGCGTGTGTGGCAGAGAGAGAGAGAGAGAAACGAGGAGAAAAAGAAGTATCATTTCTCCGAAGTCACCCCGACGAACTGACATCAATAATTCCCATCGGGCGCAACGCGTACACACGCACACACACACACTCTTGAACTCACACTCGCGTACGTCAGTGTGTACGATGATGTATAATACACACATACGATAGTGAGTCGCGCGCGCGTCCCGCATCAAGAAGAGAGTAGAGAGCGAATTGCTGCGAGAGAAAGAGAGAGAGAGAGAGACTCATACACATAGGCCACCCCTTGCAAAGCTGCACAGAGCTCATAAAAAGGCAATAGGCCAACCGCTCCTACTACACAGATATATATCTGTGTGTGCGTTTGTGTGCACCCACCATCGACGCTTCTTTCTAGGAAGTTTCGTTCTCGAGCGTCGTCGTCGTCGCCGTCGTCCTCGTCCTTCTCGCACGCGCTCTTTTATATGCATAAAAACGTCGCACACGTGTTAAAGGCTAACGAGCCTGCGATAGAGGAGCGACAAGAAAGAAAATTAATGACTTACCCATGGCGACAGGATTCCGGACTCTTTATCGTTGTTGCGTATGAAAAGCTCCGTCGGTCGGAGAGGCTTTCCCTCCCTTTCTCTCGGGGGTTTCTTCTGCCTGTCAATGGACTGCGTTATTACGTATTCCAGTATAGTAGTAGCAGCACCACGGCCGCACGCACTCGCGCACTGCACACTCCGCGCGGCAGCTCACGACGATGCGCTGCTGTAGTTATACAGTAGGTGGACCGATCCGACCTTTGCACGCGCACAAAAGCCAATGTAACGCGTATAAAACTCGGCGTTCTCTTTGGGCTGCAGCTGATGGCCGGATAGAGGAGGTGTGTGGGCGGCGGCTCCCCTCGCAGAACAGCACACACGATATTATACGTGCCTATACGGGCTGCTGCTGCTGCTGCCTGAGTCTTCGTTATCGGGCTTGCGACTAACAACCCGCTCTGCTGCTGCTGCTGCTGCAGCGGTGGAGAGACGCGCGACGATTGTCTTCCGTTGACAGATTAGCCGAGATAGGTGTGTGTGTGTGTATAAGGCGTACGAGCTGCACGACTCGAGGCCTACTACTAGGTGTGTGCACTGCACGCGCCCGATCGTATTATAGCATAAGTAGCCGGCACTTTTGCACTGAGAGAGGAGAGAGAGAGAGAGAGAGAGGGAGAGCAGAGCCGCTTCTGTGCTGCTGCTGCTGCTGCTGCTACTCGACAGACTGCAGCCTCGCGATTACGTTCGGCACGAACGAGCTCAGTCCACTGCTGCACCGCCTGCGCGGACTGCTGTGCCACTGCAAGCTGCTGCACCACGCAACGCACGCACGCACACACACACACACACACAGAACACACACTCGAAAACAACAAATCTAACTTTCTGTTCGATTTGCAAGCACTCGAAGCGCGACTTGGCCCCCTTCTTTTTGTAATCCGATGGCATGCGGGCGGGCGACGCGCCGCGGCGAGAACACCACCACCACCACCGTGTGACCGTATAGGTGCACCTGCACGGAGACTCGGCTTTTGATGATTTTATATACCTCTCGAGTCACGGTCCGCACTGTGTCGAATGTGTGTTTGCGCGTATGAGTCCTCCCGCACGAGGAGTACTGGCGGCTGCGATTGAATCTGCTGCTGCATGAGACACGGGCAAGTATACTATACTATAACACTGTACGCCGTAGCAGGAGCCACCCAATGAACACCGTGTCGGGCTGCAGAGTGCGAACTGCAAGAAGGGCGCACTCGATTGACTTTTTAGCATTATAGGTATCTGCCCCGTCACAAAGCCCTGTCATAATCTCGTTATCGTCGCGTCACTTATTTCTGACTTTATCGTTATGCACTTCTGCACCCGCTTTTCCTTTCTTACCCTTTTTTGAAATAAGTGTAAAGTTATACGTACTACGCATTGCGAAATGTTTTTGATTTGATACAACAAATTTACGGTGGACACCCGCAGCAAATTTTATTCAAAATTTACGAAAATTCAGCTGTATTTTGTATCGCGACATTTTTAATCAGTGCATTACGAGCAAATTTTTTAAAAATTATTGCAAATAAAGTACCAATTTCTGATCTTATAAATAACTAAAATAGCTATTAGTTGTAATTCAGTAAAATTTTAACTGTGCATTTTAGTTATCACAATTTTAAATTAAAATGAATAAATTGTTTTATCAAGTAATGCAATAAACTGCTAATAGTTACATGTGTCTTATCTCACATTTCTAGTTGTGTTTGTCGCCATAAATTATTGTATCTATTTATACTGTTTTATGTTCTGTCATGAAACACCCTACTAAAACAATATAGACATTACTGAGTCACAGTAAAATTATTGAAAAATTTTTATTGGCTTAAGAATTGCATCAATGTTAAACAAAATAGAATGATCAATTTTTCCTTATTCTTTTTTGTAAAAAAAAAACCGTTACACTTTTGCAAATATCAAAAAAAATTTCTATTCCAAGTTCAAAATATGGTGCTTCTACATAATACATTTTGAAATGAGGTTTAAAGGTTTCAAAAAATTGTTTCTAACAGAATTTTAGTTATGCAACTTTATTGCATTTTTCGTTTTTACTACATCATCACTGTCGTTTGTTTTGTAAATGTACGCAAGTTCGACATGCCTTCGTGTAATGCAGAATAATAATAATTCTAAAATGTATGCATTATTCAACAATGGAACTATAATAGATCAATTATATTGCATCAGGCAAGTACATATATAAGTTTGTTTCTTTGCTGAGTACAAGCTAGAAAATACTTTACTAAATACTTTTTTTTCTGTTTATACAGGCGTTGTGTATTTTTATCAGTTCACTTTTTTTTAATTTTACAAACGATTTAATTTTTAATAAACATTTATTCGCTGCAATCGAATGTTAAATAACATTGGAATAACTTTTCCATAAAATTTTGAAGTAGCTAACTAATGGTATTGTAAGCATTGTTCTATTAAATTTTATGGCATCATTTTATCAATGTTGCATTGGTAAAATGTGCTTTATTTATCTCAAATTGACACACAGTGGAACAAACATTCTCTCAAACAAATACATTGAAAGTATACAGCATGCACTGTCTCTAATTTTTACTTGGTGTAAGCACACATGCGTTCGAATTTAATATCTCAAGGCTTGCTAATCTATTGCACTATTTCTAAAATCGAGAATCGTACAATTTTCATCATTTTATACCATACACTTTTCTATCACAGACTACTTTTTATGCAAAAAAATAAATACTAAAACTCGTTCTATTGTCTACCTGACCCAAGTAACAATATAATTCTTAGCAATTAACTATACAATGAATGTACTTTAGATCATAGTAATTATTTTCCAATGATTTATTCAAACATAATTTAAATAAACAGAATGAATTCTACAAATATATTCCTCCAAAAGTGGAAAGATTCCTTTGTAACCGGAATCCAAAAAGTATGAAAATTAAAATATCATGTAAAATATTTATACCAAATTAATTTATATTTTGATACAATATAAAAAAAATTTTCCTATATTTTTCTAAATTTAATAATCTTTTAAAGATAGTCTTTGTATTTACATAATTGACTACCAGCTCAGCTCTACTATAATTTTAGTTTACATTCAGTTCGCAAGTTACAAACTTTATTTAATACATTCTTTCCCAATATGATTATTTATGGGTTTTTTTCAAAAATTTTTTGGTGGTCAGTTTATGCATCATTTTATACACAATTAGATCAAATTCAAAACAAGGAATCTTACGAATCCGCTTATAAAATTTAATCGGAATTTGACTACTAGTAGAAGTTAAAAAATTAAAGATAATTTCATTACTATTTCATGAGTATTGATTGACAGTGTTGTACTTTTGGTAAGTGTATAGGAAAAGATACATATTAAAAAAGATCAGACTCAGGTTTGATACGCCTTTTTTTAGCAACGTTAAGTTTGGTAGATTATATGTTGACGATAAAATGTGGTTACAGTTTACATTGACGTATACTATTTTTTTCTAAGTAAGCTTTCAACTAGAAACTGGTTGTTACAAAATATAATTCTCTTCATTCAGAGTTAAACTGAATTTAAAAAAGTCCGTATTGATTACATAAACACCATTAAAAAACAGAATGTTTCTCTTAGTAAATACTAAAATTCATAAATTTTCTAAAAGCACGTGTGAGTATTATCATCAAAAACCAACGGTTTAAAGAAAGATAAGTTTCGATCTGCTCTTGGACCACTTTTCAATCATTTTAGCTCGTTCCTCGAGCTGATGTTCCGAAAAGTTGCGCGATAATCCTGTCTGACCGGGCTTCAGTTTGCGCGGGTCAAGATTCGCTCCAAGATTTTGTACGCCCTTGGCTAATTTCGAAAAAGGTGAGAGTATTTCCTTGGCTGCGGTCGCGACCGGTGACGAAGCATTCGTAAAGTTCGACTTTGCCGTTTTTATAGCCGATTCACTGTGAGATGTGCTGATACTCGATACTGTCAAGTCCTGCTCCGAACTCGATCGTTGAGGTGTGCCGTCAGCTTGAAGTCTTTTGATCTGGATGTGGAATGAAATGTAAAAATTACCCGATAGTTTCGAGAGATTGGATTGAAAGAAAATGTGATATTTTACGTGTATCGAAGAGTCGCCGCTTGGATTCGTGTGACTATCAACTTCACCAGTCGAATGGCTGATGTTTTTCGGTAAGTTAAGGAACGATGGCGGAGTGGCTTTCTCGCTACTCGCCACATGCGAGAATGCCTCTCCAACGCCTTGAATCGTTATTTCCGGCGTCGTGGCGTGATTTTTTTGCGACGATGACCATTCCGACCCAGTCTGCAAATCAATACCGATAAAAATGATCCACATTCTGCACTCCATACCAGAAGCTTTTATAAAACAATGTTCCTTACCTGAGCTCGAGAATTCCCTAGCGTTGCTCCATCGACTTCTTTACCTACTTCGTCGACGTCGTTGGTCCGCAAGCCTAAAAGTGCTCCGACGTCGGGCTTGTGTCTCGCGTCGTGACTTCCATGATGTTCGACGACATCGATTGCGTCACTGGCGCTGCTGTCGTCGCTGCCGTCGCTGTCGCGTCGAATACCAGATCCGATTTCGCGCTTGCCCAAGGTAAACGTCGGTTTGATGCCGTCGACCACGTCCTTTTTACCGATGCTCTTGGCCAATTCCATGGGACGCTTCGACGCTAAACTGTGACCGAATTTGTTGAGTTTGCTGAACTGTTCGGACATGTTGCTGAAGGCTTTTGTGCCGACGGACTTGATGGCGTTCAGCTGTGTCTCCGACACGTTGCGCGTGATCGACGGAAACGAGGCTATGTCCAATAAGCCGGCGTGACCCTTGGCGTTGACGATTTTACTTCTTCGTTTGTCGAGCGTCACGTTCATGGCTATTGGAATTTTCGGTATGCCCTCGAGCTCGGAGGCTACCGCGATGGCCTCCGCGATGGCTTTGAGCGATTCTAAAAGGAAAAGGAAAGAAAAATTTCAGATGGATTTTGATTTTGAACACGAGAAAAATCAATTACGTGCCTATCGTTTCTTCCTCGGTTTTAATCACAACCGCCATATTATTGAAGAACCTCAAATTCGTACTGCGGAACATGTGAAAGTAACCGCAGTCGTTGCCTACTTTGTAATTTATCCTAATGCAGTAATGGGAGCTTTTGTTCTTGAAGAGCGAAACCGTCGTCTCGGGTTGGCCGCACTCGATGAGCACCACGTCGGTAAGCAATACTCTTTGGTAATTCGTTACTTTATCTATTTGCTCGTCGTAATCGGCTATGTAATAGCTGTCCCGAGTCAGTATCAAAATACTGTCCATCTCCGTTTCCGTGGGATCTCCCGTTCTGAAAAAGTACACGCGATGAACGATTAATTTTCGAACGGCTCGATTGGGCTTTTATGCTACCCTATTAAAAATATTCTTACACAGGATCGGCGTCGATCAATCCCCAACTGTTGAGAACGCTCTCCGGATCGGGGATGAGCAATTTTTTGCAGTCCTCGATGAGCAGCTTCACGTGATCGGCCGTCGCGACGCTGTCGTGCTCGTCGGCGTTCTCGTGGAACACCTCCTCGTTCACGTGATTGCCCAGCATCATGTCTATGCCGGCTTGTCGATACGCGTCCTTGAAGCGATTCAAGTAATACCTGCGAACAGTGCGCGAGATTGAGTCTCGTTCGTCGCACGCGGGGACGCGTGCAAAAAAGTCGTTGGCAGTCACAACGTGTTAGTCAAGGCTAGTAGTAACAGTAGTATAGTAGACAAGAAAAACTAAAACAACTTGCAGTGGTGTGTGCGACTGTTCGGATTTTTAATGAACGATCAAAAATTATATGCACATGGTGTGTGATGAGAGAAACATTAGAAATAAAAAACGAGGCGAGGATTTATATTATGTTGACAAAGAAAAAAGCGACGGAAAAAACTGACGATTTGAGCACAATTTGAGACACAAGTCAGACGAACCTCGTCACGTCATACATGAGTTTGGCGTAAAGGTATTCGGGATGTGTTGCGAGTTGTAGCTGTATATTGGGTGGTTTCGCGGGTATAAGCTCGAGACAGCAATTATCGATAATGTTTAAATAGTGCGACCAGTCGTCGTTGAACTTGTCGAGGTCGATTATCGTGTAACCGAGCAAGACGTCAATCCCCGCCTGGCGCATTTCGTCCAAAAAGTGTTGCCGTATGTATCTACGAGGCAAAATTAGATGAGGCTCTTTTCAAGGTTCTACAATTTTCATATTATCATACATAATTATAAACGTGTATTATTCAAGCTCGACTATATACTCAGTCAAATCGAAACGAAATTTTGGCAACTAGACACTCGCATAAACGTGCATCGATATAAACAATATATAGATCTTGCCGCGAGATGCATACACGCGTCAAAGAGTGATGTAACAAGTAGGAAATTCATTTCATTTATTATATATAAAATAAGAAGGAAAAGCTAATTCATCAACCTGTTGGCAGAGTTCATTCCATCTTTCATCAAGCCCGTGAATTTCCTTTCGCCCGTTCTGGTGTAGTCGCCCTGGAGGAGAGACAAAAAGTCATTTAGCAAATGGAACTCGATCGAACTAGCGATAGAAGTAGCGCCGCGCCGCCCCCGTATATACGTACTTTGAGCGCGTTCGTCCCGGCGTATTGTTTACTGATGATGTCGCCGTTGTTGGCCCAGAGCAATTGGAAGGTCTGGCGTATGTTGGTGGGCAGAGCGCCGTCGGGCGGCACGAGGCCGAGCTTGGAGAACTGCATCTCCATGACGGCCTTGCCGAGGGCGGTCTGCACGACGTTCGTCCGGTCGAGGCAGTCGATGCAGTTGACCCGGAACACGCCCCGCTGCTTGCAGATGGCGCCCTGCTTGTCGTGCCAGCAGTAGCCCATCTCGGCCAGGACGCCGCTGAGAGCCGTGACGAGCAGCGAGACGTTCTCGAAGTGCATGCCCCGGCAGTACTCGTGAAAGTCGAAGGTCGTGTACGTGACGTCCGGATGATCCAGGCCCAGCACGTGATTCGTGTAGGCCTCCCAGATGACGGCCTCCTTGCCGCTCTGCTCGACGAGGTTCACGATGCAGACGGGCCCGTAGGTCTCGAGCTCGCCGGCGAAGTGCTTGTCGAAGGCCACCTGGGTCTCGGCCTCGCCCCGGTCGATCCTCGGCGGCGGCTTGTACTTGTAGCCCGGCTGCGACCAGTAGACGGGCACGCTGCCGCGCACCTGGACGAACGACACCTGGTGATCGTGATACCAGACCAGCTGCTCGGTCTCCACGTAGTTGGCGCACTTGCCGTCCTCGTCGACGCCGCGCCGCTTGTACCTCGTGCCCGCCCGGAATCGGCTTCGCCTCGAGATTATCGCCAGATTGAAGATCTCGTGGATCGGCTGCTCGTCGTGGCCGACCTCCACCTGGCATTTCTCGATCTGCACGTAGCCCTGGATAATCGGCAGTATCCAGCAGTCTGCCTTGTCCGTCTGCGGAAAGCGAATGCTCGCAATGAATTTTTTGCAGCCGATAAACGTAAACGATCGAGTAAAGAAAAGCTCGAGTATAAAATTGACGCACGTTGAGATTAATGATGTCTTGGAGCATGAACCTGTTCCAGAAGAAGCGATTGTCGACGGTGCGCCAGAGGGCCGGCTTCCTCTTGTCGGCGCACTGCTCCTGCCTCTCGCAGCTCCTCTGCAGCGAGTTGGTGATGTCGCGCGTCCTGCAGAAGAAGAACGAGTCGGTCTCGGTGAAGATCTTGCCGAGCTCCTCGATGATGCGCCGCTCGAACCTCTCCTTGTCCTTGAGGCCGGTGCGCTTGCCGACGGCCCCTACGACCGTGGACTTGACCTGCGAGGTGGCCAGCGCCGCGGCCTGCTGCGTCGTCGTCCTCAGGCTGTTGCCGGCGCTCTTGATCGTGCCCCAGGTCTTGGCCAGGCCGCTGGTGGTGCGCTGCGCGTCCAGCAGACCCGCGCCGCTGCTCGGGCCCGGCTTCTTGCCCCCCGGCGCGTTGTGCTGATGCTTGGCGCAGGGCAGCAGGCCGATGTCGAAGTTCTCCGAGCCGAGGTGCAGAAAGGCCACGGACTTGATCTTGTGGACGACGTGGCCGCCCTGCAGCACCCCGGCGTCGGCCACCTCCTTGATCAGCATCAGCCGGGTCTCGAGCACGTTCGGCTGCTCGATCTTACCGATCAGGCCGTAAAATATGCCCAGGCATTCCAGCTCCAGTGCGCTTCCCCATTCCCAGTCTGCAACGAGTCGTTTATTCATTTTCTTAATAGATACATATTATATGATAGTAGTATAGTATAGTATTATTATTATCGGTAAAAGTGGAGGGTTGCGAGATACGTGCAATATGCGACTCGCGTAATTGGCCACTTCATTCATGAATACAATGCATGCGAGTTGTACAGAGGCGTGTATTATAGTCACCTATATGCTATAATAATGTACCTGTATATAGGCAAAAGTCTTCTACTTGCGTCATCGTTCGAACCTTTTCGTCCGTCCCCTTTCTTCGTTAATATTTCAGGAGTAATTGCTTACGGAAAAAAATAACCCACACTCGCGTGCACGCGCGCGTATCGTTCGATTTCGCCCGAGGCTCGATCAATTTCCCCATATTATTCACACGCGGTTGATTAATAAAACATATCCAAATAAACGGCGCTAACGAGGCGCTGCGAAGCTTCGCTAATGTTATCGTCGTCGTCGTCGTCGTCGCCGCGCGTTAATGAAAACAGCCAAGTGCAAGCGCACTCGCGAATATCCCCGTATATTCACACTTACGGAGCCGCGAGCACGTGTGTAATTCTGCTGCTGCTGCTGCGCGAACATTTAATAATATAATCGAAGGCAAAGTCGCGCTCGCTCTCCGCAGCTCTCCTCGGTTACGAATTAATTCCATTATCTAAGCTAAACGCTCGTTTATGCATTATGTACACGTGTGCGGGGCTCCATCGATTTCTGCTGCTGCTGCATTCCACGCGCGCGAGCCTCGGAGAATATTATAATAACATGCAAAACATCGATGCGCGTCGAGCTTTTCTATCCTTGTGTTATTATTATTATTATTATTACTGTGCACCGCCTTACATTTGCAGGAGAAACGGGTAACGAGTCGAGTTTTTATGGTAATTGTACCGTACTTACGCACGCAGGCAACAAAAGCGTTTCGCTCGTTTCGAGACTAAACAATGCCTGTGCGTCTTTGGCGATCGATTCTTTCGCGCGCAGAGACGGTCATATATATATACTTTCGCTCGCAGCGCGCGCGGAGCACAGAGCGCACTTTGAATGAATCATCGTCGCGCGTAATAATAAAATAGTTTGCTCGTTTTCCGATCGATAACTTAATTCGTATATATGTGCGTGCACGTGCGTGAACCGCTTGCAACGTCCGGTAACGGCAGCAGGCCTCGTTATTTATTTCTTTTCAACGCGTAAATAATTTTACGCGAGCAAATTGGAGAAGCGCGCGCGGCTAATATCGTGTTTCATATTTCGACGAATATATCGAGCGTGTCTGTATACGCCGTGATATAGACACGGCTAGCTCGAGAAAGTGTACCTGCGCGCTTTGGGCCTATCGCAGCGACCAAATCTATATATTATAGCTGCACACACGCTCGGAGATTGAGCACAATCGATGAAGCGCGTGTGCGTAAACGCCGTGAATGATTCATAATCGCGCGACCGTGATTCGACTATAAAAACGCGATATACTCGGCGGATTATGCCGAGCTCCGATAATACGCCCCCAGACATTACGCACCGATTAACGATTATTACATAAAAAAAAAAAAAAGTGCGAGAGAAAAAACAGACTCACCAGACTTGGCAGCGAATTCGCCAGTCTGCTTGTCCCACCATAGACTGTAGTTCTCTTTGACGAAAATGAAGTGGCTGTCGCTTCGAAACAACTCCATCGTTCCCTAATTTAAGCGACAACATTCGTCGGGCGGTTGGGCGCCGATGACGATCAAGCGGATGAATTGTTATTATATTCGATGCGGAGCAGCAGCGGAGAGCTGGATCGCACCTTGACCGCCGCGCGACGTCTGCGTGGGAGCACGTTTCTCCTTGTGCTGCTGCTGCTGCTGCTGCTTCGTTGTGTACGTGGGAGTCTGTTGTTTTTGTTGCAGCTGACTTGCAGCAGCATATCGCGGAACAAAAAACAGAGAGAGAGAGACTGACACAACACCGACACACGCACAGCACACGGAGTTGGCTGCTTCGCACTGCTGCCAGTCGAGCGTGCACTACTGGCTTCCGACGAACTGATACGAAGATATGTCTCTATCCGCTGCAGCCGAGTATATATCGCGACTCCTGAGACAATGCTGCTGCTGCTGCTGTCCAGCGCACGTATTATATACACACAACAACAACGCGTATACTACGTATGTATACGCACAATGGGAAAAATCAACTGACAACACCTGCACACGACAGACAGTCGACGCCAAGTGCGAGAACTGCTGCTGCGAGAGAGAGAGAGTGAGAGATATGTTGCGAAAATTGACGGCTGCTCGGAGCATGCGCTCTTGTGGCCAATTATTGACGCGAATCTCCGACAGAGACCGAAGCTCGCACTCCGCGAGTAAATCTATGCCTTGTTTTTTATTGACATTTCGATCGCACGCGCCTAATGTCAATCTTGCGCCTAGTAGCAGTTTTTCTTCTAATTTTTGTTTCGAAACAAATTTTTTTATGAGCTATAATTTTAAAGCTGATTCTTGAAAAACGATGATATACATTAAGAGTACATGATCTAGTTTTCGACGATCGCGAACTATTTTATAAATAAATTGAAATTAAAATCCTTTTTACTTCTATGAATATTTATACTTTTAGAGAAAATTTGCAAATGCATTTAGAATTTTTAAATCTCTTGCCATACGCATTGGCAGTCCTAATGCTGCCTACGGGTAACGCCATCTTTTCTCCGAATGCAGCACTATACGATTCACTTGCCCGGTGTATAAACTGATATACAACTTGACGCAAGGCAAGCTCGTCCGCGTGTAAATCGTGTGCATGTGCATCGCCGGAATTCCAGCCTTACGAATATTGACGATTGTTTGGAAATAATTAAGTAACAACTCTAGATAATAAATTAAATGATTCGTTTAGGTCGACCTCAAGATTTAATTAGTACCTTTTGTTCGATTTGTAAGTGGTTTAATGTTTTTTATCTTCTTAATACTCTGAATAACCTATTTAAATTACTTTTGAAGTTTATTCTGCTTATACCGAATGCAGTGTCATTATTATTAATTACTATGAAATTTTATTAAATAATCAGTACTGATAAATGCCTGATCAAAGTGAACCAGTTAAGAGTAAACATTTATTTAAAATAGTGGCACATTATTAATTTTTAGGTACCAGATTTACAAGAACAGTAGTTACTCAACCAAACATCATGTCCGAAAACAAGGTAATTGACACGAATCAACAAGAAAAACGGCCTCTTGAAGAAGAAACAGAACATGATGCAAAAAAAATTAAAACAGACACATTTGTGCGCATAAAAAAAAGAAATTTTGCCATGATGTTAGGATATCTTGGTAAAAATTATTTTGGTATGCAAAGAAATCCAGGCATGGCTACAATAGAGGAAGAATTAATTAGTGCAATGTTGAAAGCTAAGTTAATCAACTCAGGTGACTTTGAAACTATTCAAAATATTAATTTTCAACGTGCAGCTAGGACAGACAAAGGTGTATCAGCTGTCAGACAAACAGTTTCTTTAAAACTACGTAAGTTTTTATTACTTTATTGCCCATATTATATAATTAAAAAATTAAATGAGATTTATTATTTTTCCTTCAGCTGAAAATCCTTGTAAGGATACTCTAAATACATATCTACCAGACGATATCAGGGTATTTGCCATTAAACGTGTTACAAAGGGATTCAATAGCAAGTCTCAATGTGATGCTAGAACCTATTCTTACACCATACCAACTTTTGCATTTGCAGATGAAAATATGGAAGAATTTGCAGAGACTGCGGAATTCGTAGATGTAGATAAAAGAATGGAACAATTATCAACTATAGATGGTAAACCATACCATGAATATAGATTGCCTAAAGAAAAATTAGAAGAGTTAAGAGAAATGTTGAAGTTATATGAAGGAACTCATAATTTTCATAATTTCACATCTAAAGTGTAAGTTTGTTCAAAGCTGAATTTTTTTGGAATTTTTAAAAAACTTTAAATTCCGTAAAATTAATTAAAAAAACAAAATTTAACTTACTTATTCTAAATACAGGTTACCTTTAGATCCAAGAGCCAAACGTTTTATAATGAGCTTCACAACAGAAGATCCATTTGTTGTTGATAATATGGAATTTATTACTCTAAAAGTTAAAGGTCAAAGTTTTATGCTGCATCAAATAAGAAAAATGGTTGCTATGAGTATTGGACTTTTAAGGAAACATATTAATAGAGAAATATTTGATCAAGCATTTGAACGAAGAAAATATGATATTTCAAGGGCTCCGAGTCTAGGATTAATGTTGAATATTGTAAATATTACTAATTTTTCAAATTATCTATTCAATAACACCAATAATCATAACTAAAAATGTTATTAATTCTTCAAGGTTCATTATGATTACTATAATAAAAAATATGGATCTGATGGAGTACATGAAAAACTTGATTGGCTGGAATGTGAAGAAGAAATCAGAGAATTTGAAAAAACAAAGATATTAAAAGATGTTTTTGATACAGAAATTAAAGAAAAAGCGTAAGCATTATCATAATATTTAATTACGTACTTATTCATAATCATAATTATTTTTATAAATATTAAATCATTTTCTTAATAAAATTATTGCAGCACACTTAATTGGTTAGCTAATTTGAATGTGAATTCGTTTGGGCCAAGAGATGAAGCCAAATGGGCAGCCAGAGACGAAGCAAGAGCTAAAGCTGAAGCTGAAGCTAAAACTGAAACTGAAGCTAAAGCTGAAGCTGAACCTGAAGCTCAAGCTGCAGTTGAAAAAGACGATAAATAAGTTGAAATTTTTATAAATATATGACTGCACTGTAAGGTTGTATTTTATAAGACTCGTATTTTTTTACGAAATGAACAATTGTACATTTTTACTATTAATAAATACTGTGTTTACACAAATGTCAAATATAGCTTGCTAGCACTTGACCATTATTATGTTGACGACGACATTCTATTATTCTTTTACGTAATAATTGTAAATACCTTGTATAAATTCGATTGATGATTCGAAATAATTCTTAAAAGTTAAAGTTAGAACCTTTATGAATAACTTTAGTTATCAATTGATAATACTGATTAATTGTATTATGCCAAGTACCAAAAGAAAAAGTTTGGTTCAATTTAATTAAATAAAGTTTAACTTTATAAAAGATCCGTCGACTCGAGAAAATTATTTACTTTAAAATCTTTCCTGAAAGATATTTCTCCTTGCTATTGTGTTTCCGCACTCTATAGAAATACCCAATTCGAAATAATTCATCGTAACGCACGAAGGAAAGAATCTTCAAGAAGAATTTTTAAATCTCTGTCGCATCTCCCTCTTCTCCACCACCATCGTCGTGTCCATTCAAACGAGACTAATAATCGGTTCTCTCTCTCTCTTTCTTTCTCTCTCTTTTTGCCCGACAGTCGTCTGCGTCTGGGAGCGTAAAGAAGAGTCTGCTTCGGTAGTCGTGAGCTGCGCGCGAGCGAGTAAGCGCCCGCAAGCATGTGTTCATTTTTCGCTCGTATCCATTGACGAACTCCGAGTGATAAAATTTCCCTCATTTTTTTTTTTTTTTTTTATTAGGCTCGAGTGAAATCCGGAAAATCGAGATGAGGTACCGATCGCCGATCGCAGCCTTATGGGTGACTTTTTCCGGTGAGTAAAACCGTAACGCAAGCGACGTAACGTCCATACGCGATCTTCATACCTTTGACTTCGAGGCGGGCCGCGCGTTCGATATTTTTGCACGTTGCTTCGCAGCTATGAAATACGATCGATATTTCGCGCTATGAGAGACGATTTTATTCGGGCGATAGCTTCAAAAATCGAGTAATTTTTTTTGAATTTTTCATCGAACCGTAGGGATCCGAAAATAGTCGCCAAAAATCTGGACATGTGGTTGGACAGATACTCTTAATAAAGTAAATTAGAATTTAAGTTTATTCGGAGGTCGAATTCTTCGCAGCGATGCGATATCGAGCAATCAATTCATCATGAGATGTTATGTTCTTGTCATTAATGAACGAATTCGCATGAAAAACTTGAAATAACAGTTTGAACTTGCAGCGAGTACGTTTTATCCGATAGCGCGGTCTTCCCCACAGTGTAAGCAATAGAAAGCACTTGAACAAATGTTGCATAATTACAAGAGTAATCGAAGTTAGAAAAACCCAAACTCTTGCATCGTAATCGCTCGCAGGACACGACCGTTGAAAGAGAAATACGAAACGACCATCGGAAAATCCAGTTATTTTCTCGCAACGGCGCATCGCGCATTGCATAGTTTTCTTTTTATTTTACGCCGAAGCTTCACGACCACACGAGCACACGTAATCGTTAACCGAGGTCCAAGTTCAAGCGAGATAATAATCGGGGAAAAAAAAAGAAGAAAAATCATCGATCATTGCGTCGCGTCGTAATACGGCACACAACGCTTCGAGATCCACAGAAGTGCATTACACTTAAATATACTATAATGTAATGTAGCGCTGCGTGCGATCCGCGCGCGCGCGCCAACGATATGCGCGTCGTGCGAGAAAACCGGTTTCAAAAATCTGTAAATAAGCGGTGTCCGCGCGCGCGCACGCGAAGCCAAGAGAGGAGGAGGAGGAGGAGGAAGAGAGGAGAGAAAGATAGAGATAGAGAGAGAGAGAGATGCCGTGTGCAGGATACTATAGCTATAATAGTGCTGCTGATCGAACGCACAGCTGTGTGCCCTTGAGAGAGAGAGAGAAGAGCAGCAGCCTCCACCGCTGCTGCTCTGCCTGCCCCCGAGCGATCGCTGCCATTGAACTTTGGGAACGCGTTCGTGCTTCTATACTATTCTATGATATACGCACAATCCTATATGTAACAAAGCAAAAGAATATGTATACGCGGGGGCACACATCTGCGAAGCGCAAATAATGTCCCGACGAGACTATTATCGAGCGAGATTTTTTAAAAAGCTCGTTATTTACGCTTCCGCGTGTGATGTCATTGGCAGGCCACGAAGCGAGGGTTCGAAAAACAGCTATACATTATTCAGCGCGTCTTTTGAATATTCCCAAGAAGCACGCGTGCGAATCACGTGGCAGTATGGATATATAATAATAAAAGGCGAATTTCAAAATATTCGATTCGTCGAAGAAAAAAAATATAAATAAATATATGTTTTGTTTCACGCACAGTACTGCTGGCAAGTTGTTCGGGCCAATTGCTGGATGATTACGCATCGCGTCCTTTTGGATCCAGTTGCAAGTGAGTTTATATATATTTTGTACGTTGTACGATAAATCAAATATATTCTTGAAATAAGATTCGAGAATGTGCCTCGATTACGTCCGTCAGATGTACTTATGAACGCTTCGAAGCTATATTACATGCGCGATAGTATTTTGAGACTCGTACAGATACCCGGTCTATCTATCACTCGGCGGTTTCGACCTCGAGATGTACGCGGTATTATAATAATTGGGAAATCCCAAAAGACGATGCGGATCGAGAATAGCTTTTGCGATTTTCTCTCCTCGGGTCGACGAAAGATCGCGCGCGTCGAATGACTTTATTGCGAAATGTCGCGCACAGAAAACGAAAAAAAAACAAAAAAAAAACAAAAAAAAATGCGTATTCACCGATTCGCGATTGTTGCAGCGTGCAGCAGTGGCGCTGCGACGACGGCCAGTGCATCTCGGGCGAGGCCCTGTGCGACGGCCTGATCGACTGCATCGACGGCTCGGACGAGACGCGCAAGATCTGCCGGAGCCCGCGCAATCCGCCCTGCAATCCGCGCACCTTCCGCTGCGACTACGGGGCCTGCGTGGACGGCGACGCGCCCTGCAACGGCATCAAGGACTGCGCCGACAACAGCGACGAGTCGCCCTCCCGCTGCGGCGGCGGCGGGGCTGGTGATGGCAACAACAATCCGAGCATCATCGGCAATGTCACCTGCGGCGTGCACCAGTTCCGCTGCGACAGCGGCCAGTGCATCCACAGGACGGACATGTGCGACGGCAACGTCGACTGCAACGACCGATCCGACGAGACGGCCCTCGTTTGCGGCTCCTTCAGGTATGTAAACGCATGACGCGTTATAAATATTCCATAAGAGCGAGTGCAATCGGCCTTGCTGTTTACCGACGAATATTATACCAGAGCAACGAGGCGAGGTCGCGTGGAAAAGATAATAAAAAAATCATCGCTCGCAAAATTAGTGCACGTTACAAACGCGACTACAATCAATCGAGCATTACTATACAGCTGTGTTCACAGCAATTAATGCTTATCAAAATTCTGACACGCGTATAATTGCCCGTTTCAATCGTTTCCACGAATCGAAGCGACGATGCAAATTGTTGTTTACTTTTTAATCATTACACAATTTTACCCGGCGATGCGATCGATATGACTCGTCGTCGAGCGAAAACTAATTTCCACGACGTTCGCGCCTCTATATTATATACATATATAATGCATCCTTTATAGCTGTCCGCAAACCGTGTTCCGATGCGCCTACGGGGCCTGCATCGACAACGATCTCAAGTGCAACGGCGTGGTGAACTGCGCCGACGGCTCGGACGAGGACCGCAAGATGTGCGGCAATCCGCCAGCGCCAGGCCCGAACCCGATCGACCCGTGGCAGCCGAAGCCGCCGAGCACGACCTCGACGACCTCGACTACTACGACGACGAGACGACCCCCCCAGCCGAACATCCCGGTGGTGAACACGTGCGCCCTGCCGCCCCAGCCGGACCACGGCAGCTGGATGCTCGACAAGAGGCAGTGCCAGGGCAACGCCAAGTACTCGGACTGCGACCTGGACTCGGGGGTGCGCGAGCTCGACGCCGGCCGCGTCATCCTGTACAGCTGCCACAGCGGCTTCAGGCTCGTCGGCAACAACGAGGTCTTCTGCCGCTTCGAGGGCCAATGGTCCGGTACTCCCACCTGCGAGAGTGAGTATACTTTTTATCGTGCGATCGCGGGAATACATATAATAAACGATATTGTCTATATACGCACGCAGAGATCACGTGTCCGGGCCTGAGCGACGAGACGAAGAGCGGCAGCTGCACGGCGGCCAATGGCTCCTACGTGCCCTGCTCGCAGCCGATGGAGCCGGGCAGCCGCGGCGATCTCCACTGCAACGAGCCCACCTACCGCCAGGACACCACCGACATAACGCGCAACAGCAAGGTGCTCTGCAGCCCCGACGGCCAGTGGTTGCCCAAGCCCATCCTCTGCCTTCCAGGTCAATCCTTGTTGCACACTACTATTAACAATGTCTTTGTCCTCAACGTCTACGCCGTGTGCCGATTTATGCCGCGCGGCTTTCTCCTCGCGTGTCCCGTCGACGGCAACGACGACGACAAACGGCCGAGCTTCGTCGCGACTTACAATCTCGAGACTCAGGTCAAGACCCAAGTCGATTCGAAAGCTCGGGACACTTGACCAATTGACTCGTCTTATATACAACGACAACAACAAAAAAAGTAACCGATCGATCGCGCTCCAACCAAAGATACGATAACCGTATAATACTCAAGTGCAATAACTCATAATATATATAATATAATTTATACATCTATGCAACTTTTATAACATACGTGTGATAGTTTAACATAAGTTATTCAATGCATTGTGGCGTTCATGAAAATTTTCTATAATTAATTTTTGCATTTCTAATATTTGCTTGTATAAGGAGTCTGTCCCTATTTTCGCTCGATAATTCATACAAAATTGCTTGTATGAATTGAAAACATCTAAAAAACCTATATCATACAAATACTAGTATCGAGTTTAGATCTTATTGAAAAAATACCGATTCAAAGTTGAACTGAGAAAAAAATAGAGACAGAAGCTTTACTAACTAATTAATTCCGTCGATCACGTTTGTGTAAGATCGACATGTGGAAGAGGAAAAAAAAACGAATAAACTCCACAGGTGTTTGAGCTCATTCATTCGCCACTCGGCTTTTGAAGTTTTATTATTTTGTACCTGGTCAAAACGAACGAAACCAAAAAAAAAAAAAAGACAGCGTAAAAGTAGAAAGTACCAAAAATTCGTGTCTCCTCGCCAACAGTCTGCGGCCAAGCCTCCGGGATCGACGGCAAGCCGCTGATCGTCGACGGCCAGCCCACGACCATATCGGCCTTCCCCTGGCACGGGACCCTCTACCTCGACGAGAGCGGCGAGAAGCAGTTCAAGTGCGGCGCGACGGTGATCCACAAGGATCTGCTGGTCACGGCCTCCCACTGCGTCTACGACGACGGCCGCAGGCAGTACCGAAATCCCAAGAAGTATTACGTCGCCGTCGGCAACACCTTCCGCGATTACGACATGGCCAACCAGGGTGGCTACGTGCAGCGCTCGCAAGTAAGTGGCACATATACTACAGCGGCGCGCGCGAGTACACCGATCCGATCGCGCGTGCAATAATAATAATAATGATGATAATGATATGTAAAAATCGCGCGCACAGGTCGAAAAATTCTACTCCAAGTGCACGTACCAAGGACTGTCCGGCAATTACGTCGACGACATAGTCATTATAAAGATCAAGCAGCATCTGCAATTCAGCTCGTTCGTGCTGCCGGTTTGCCTGGACTTTAGGACGCAGCACGAGAACCTGGCTTTCGAGCACGGAACCCTGGGTCGGGTGGCGGGCTTCGGCCGGACGCGCACCGGCCCGTCGAGCGCCATCCTGCAGTCCTTGACGCTGCCCTACGCCAATCAAGCCCAGTGCCAGGAAGAGAATAGGAATTCCGACAACTACAAGTTCTTTAGCGACAGTAAATTTTGCGCCGGCTGGAGAAACGGTGAGTCATAAATGTAACAACGACGCGGCCTTAAAAAAGTTATACTTTTCTTTATTTCCATAACAACATATACAGCGGTCGGCTCGAATGATAAATATAAAACTTTATAATATTTCGGTGTACTGAATAGATCGGATTGACTATATTTACAGGTTCGTCCGTGTGCAGCGGCGACAGCGGTGGTGGTCTTGTATTCAAACACCAAAGTAAGTGGTATCTCCGTGGCATCGTCAGTTTGGGCTTGGTCAAGGACCGAGAGGACCCGAACGCTTGCGAAAAATACAGGTACACCCTCTTCGAAAGAGTATCGAAACACATTGGCTGGATCAAAGACATCATTCAAGAGGTTACAATTGGTGCGGCCGTGGACCACACAAATTCAAGATCTTGCACGAGAGACTGATACATCAGAGAAAGTTGATTTTCGACGTTCATGCCATACACATACTCAATTGATAATGAAATATAAACTTGAACTATTTTGTAATAATATAATCCAACTGTGTTAAACATCATTCACAATAACTTTGTAAGTTTTATGAATGAACTTTCAATTATTTAAATACTAGTCATTGTTATAAGACTGAGTGTGCCTCATTTTTTCGTCCGTTATATTATAAAAATTTCACCAATCAATGCACTAGCTATTTTGCAGCATTCTTTTAATTTATTTATTGAATGTTCGAGTTCAAGACTCTTGGCTTGGTTGAACTGAATTTTTGCTCTTTGGCGCTGGGAGATCTGAAATACAAATTTGAATAAATTTTTCATGAAATGAACAACAAATTGTCAAAATGAAATTAAATTTTTACCCTGCAAATCCAACGCTGATAGATCAGGTAGCTCTACTGAGTTGAATGATTTATCTTTAGTTTTACCAGATTTAGGCAAGTCTTCCCATGCTGTACCCATAATATCTGCTAATTCTTGCTCTAATTCTGCATCAGATTCATTCAAAGCCACGGGCTGAGCCATCACAGTCTGAACTTCTTTTAGTTCATCCAAAATCTGAAAAGTAGTTTCATTGAAAATAAATAACATGGTTTTGATTGTGGTTAAAGTGATATTTTGTATGTAATAACTTTCAAGTTTTTCAAATAAAAAATTAAAGATCAATATTAATAGTTACTTGACTCACTTCTGCCATGTCATCCATTGTATTTGCAGCTTCTTGTTCCGTAAGACCAACATCTTCGAATTTCTTTAGAACGCTGTATCCTGCTTTGTAAGCTTCCAATGTGTCAGAATCGTAATGGGCATCATGAATCCTAGATAATAGCTTTTGAACATTCAGTAGTGCAGCACTACGTCTTTCAATGCATTTATCCAATTCATGTTTTTTCCTAAGAAAGCTTTTAGCTACTTGTTTCAACCCACTGGCTACTGCTGATTTGGCTTTAGTAATTGCTTCATTTCTTTCGGTTTCTAATTGTTCTATATTTTTGATTAACAACATTTCTTGCTGTGTTAATTTGTAGGTACCTTCGTCAACTTCTGAAACTTCTTCGGCACCTTTTGAAGATATCTTTACAAGTAAATTATGACTATCTTCTTTACATTCTCTGAATGCAGCTTTTTTTGTGTTTCTTAACCAAATCAATGCTAATCGAACATTGCTTTCTGTTATTCTGTCACTGCCAGTTTTCTCTTTACATTTTTGTGTGATCTCAGATAGAGTTAACAAAATATTCTCTTGTTTACTGTCCAATGAAGATAATATGACATTTGCTAACGATTTGACAGTAGGAAGATGTATATATTTAGTATCAAGTTCGATTGTAGGTTCAGCAACATAACTTTTAAGTTTTGAAAAAGACCATGATATGGGTTTTTTGACAAACAAATCCACTGTCCAACCAGTCCATGTTTTACTAGGCTCTCTTAAGAATTCTGATTCTGGCACAACTTCTCCATTACTGATTAAACATTTAAAAAAATATGAATTATTAGAATAGAATTATAATTATTTCATCTAAGAATTTATGTGATAAACTTACTTGTAAAGTTCCATAAGTACAGTGGGTAAACATAATGCTGTACAACCGTTTCGTTTAAAATTAATATTCAAATCAGCGAGAGAAAAACTGCATCGATAATGGTAAGCAGCCCAATCATTAATAAACTGATTCCAAAATTTATACTTGGAATTCCAATCTTCAGGATTTGCAGAACGATTTCGGAATGGAGCAAACAGTGATTTCATTCGCTCTTCTTTACTCCAACAATCTGGAAGAAGTTCTTCAGGTATCGGAGTGGTAAATGTCATTTTGGATTTTGGAGTCGCAGACATTTTTGAAATCTAATAAACACAAAGATTCATTTGTTACATATTATTGGTATTAATAAATATTACTCATTATCCTATAAAATTATTTTCACCTGCAGAAAAACCGTTACTTTTAAGTCTTTTAAAAAATGTATGTATTAAAAGATGATGATAAATCTATTTTTTAACTTCAAAGATAGCACACATGGAGATCATAAAGACAATTTCGCAGCTGACACCTATGTGCGATTATTATTTATAAATAGTAACGCTGAAATATCGCAATATTTACATCTACCTTCTTTCTTTATCCAGATATGAACTTTTACAACTGATCTAGAATAATAATTTTAAAATAACAAAGAGTTCATTCCAGTTTCAGCAAGAAAAAAGTACTGTCAATCGATTACAACTCGATCACTTTGTCAGTTCCCGAAAGATCACTTTTAGCGATTGCGATACTAAACCCTGAAGAGTAGCGAATCCGAATAATAATGCAGTGCAGCAGTAGGCAATAACTTGCGCCGCGGTGACGCAGTTACACACGATGAATATGCCAAACGCCAAGTTTCACGACGGTCATTCCTGACCAAGTTTTCTAACAGAACCGTGCAAGACGTGGGTACGCATACGCGATCCACAACGACGACATCAGCCCTCCTTGTCTTGTGCAGTTTGACTGGCGCGGCTGACTCTCATCGGTCGAACAAAAATGGCGACTCGTCTGCTAAAAGTTAATCCAACTTTGTTGAAATATGTCCAGAAGAATGGGCTTTACAAGGTATGTCATGGCATCGGTCAAACATGCAATTTCAGTTTTTCGTCTTACGAGTCTGCCAGTGTTAAATTATGATACAAAGTGAAGTTAAACTTGAACGTGTGTTCCTTACGTAATATATCGCTATTTTAACAATTTACATCATTATTATTTGTTATAGGCCAATTTTTATTGCTTTATGGCTTCCTTGGTGTGAATTGTTATTCTTGACAGCTCAAATAAATAGTAAACAAATTATCTATGCTTCGGATTAAAACTAACCTTAAAAATTCCATCTGATCAATAATAGTCATATGCAACTAGCTTGAAGTGTTTGAGTAATCTTATGTTATGGTTTTCATCTACTTTAGATCCCCAAGCAATGGAAGGCTACAGCCGCGTCGCCTCTTCAACAGGCCCTCATCAATCAACCACCAACGTGTACCACAACATTGGACAATGGTATGAGAGTAGCTAGCGAAGACAGTGGTGCTGCAACAGCCACTGTTGGTCTCTGGATCGATGCTGGTAGTCGATGGGAATCCGATGAGAATAACGGTGTTGCTCACTTTATGGAACATATGGCTTTTAAGGTATTAAGCTTGTTTATCATGATATAAATTATTGCACATTTGTAGGAAATATAGTGAAACACAATACTCGCTTGATGATTTTATACTTAGAATGCCAAGATTTTATTTACAATAATCTATTTTCATTTTTTGTTATTTTGCAGGGAACAGCTAAAAGGTCACAAACTGATTTGGAGCTTGAAATTGAAAATATGGGAGCACACTTAAATGCTTACACTAGTCGGGAGCAAACTGTATTCTATGCTAAATGTTTGAAGCAGGATGTGCCCAAGGCTGTAGAAATTCTTAGTGACATTATTCAAAATTCAAAACTAGGAGAAAATGAAATTGAAAGAGAACGAGGAGTCATTCTGAGAGAAATGCAAGAAGTAGAAACTAACTTGCAAGAGGTTGTTTTCGATCATTTACATTCTACTGCCTATCAAGGCACTCCCCTTGGAAGAACAATTCTTGGGCCAACTGAAAATATCAAATCAATTTCAAAGAAAGATTTGCAGGAATATCTCAGAAATAACTATGGTCCACCAAGGTATGTAGCAGAATCATAATATTTAATACTACTAAATTAATTACTATTAATAGAAAATGGCACACAAATGTGTAAATGTCTAATAAACTTTTTTTGTCTTAACTTGTGATTGGTGTTTCATAATAAAAACACATACATATAAGGTTTTTTATTTAAGTACAAAAGTACAAATCACATTTTATTACCATCTTAAAATAATAATATACTAATAAATAACTAATTTCCATAATTGAATTATATTTATTTAGATTCGTTTTGGCTGGTGCTGGAGGTGTTGACCACAACCAGCTTACTCAGCTTGCTGAACAACACTTTGGAAAAATGACCGGCCCAGCATACGATAAAATCCCAGATCTTAACGTGCCATGCCGTTACACCGGTTCCGAAATTCGTGTGCGAGACGACTCCATACCTCTGGCTCACATTGCTATCGCCGTCGAAGGTAAACATATTAATAGTTATGAAATTAATAAATATGAAAAAAAAATTTCAATTATTTAACAAAGAATTATTATTTTCTCAGGTGCTGGCTGGAGCAGTGCTGATAATATCCCCTTGATGGTAATGAATACTCTGATGGGTGCGTGGGATCGCAGCCAAGGCGGTGGTGCTAATAACGCCACTACCTTAGCCAGAATAGCTGCTTCCGGAGAACTTTGCCACAGCTACCAAAGTTTCAATACCTGCTACAAGGTAATGCATTAAAATTCTAATATTAATTTCCAATTCCATGATAAGCTTTTAATCATTAACAGCTTATTAATGTTTGTATTGAATCTTTTAGGATACTGGCCTGTGGGGAATCTACTTTGTTTGTGAACCCATGCAGTGCGAAGATATGGTATGGAATATCCAACAGGAATGGATGAAACTTTGCACATCTGTAACCGAAAAAGATGTTAACCGAGCGAAAAATATTCTGAAAACAAACATGTTCTTGCAACTTGACGGTACTACCGCCGTATGCGAAGACATTGGCAGACAAATGCTCTGCTACGGTCGCAGAATTCCTCTTCATGAACTTGAAGCTAGAATAGAGGTAAGCTCAATAAAAATTAGACATTTGATGAGTATACAAAATAATATTAATTTATCGATTTTTCTTTACAGAGCGTTACAGCTAAGACGATTCACGAAACCGGTATGAAATACATTTATGATCGTTGCCCAGTCATCGCAGCTGTTGGTCCATGTGAGAACTTGACTGACTACAATGTTATCCGTAGCGCCATGTGGTGGGCTCGTTATTAAAACAATTAAGATCATGTTCAGTAAAGTTAACGATAAATGTTAGGAATTTTAACTTTGGAGAATGACATTGAATCGATCTATGCAGTAGAACAATTTATGTAATTAAAAAGTTTTTGTTTTTTTCATTGTCACATGTGAAAAATATCGAAATGTGCTTTGGCAATTGCTATTAAAGTACTACGAGAAAACTAGGAGCATGTACATTGATTTACGAATGTTGAAAAAAAAAATAAAAATTCAATTTCTTTTTACCACTGTTATTATTTTGTAAATATATCAATTACATTGCCTAAGTTGCACTTTCACCTTTATTAATATCATTTTAAGTTTTGTTATCCATTACAGGCTTAATTTCATTAAGCATAAAAAATGTCGCAATAATTCTCAATAAAATTATATAAATCAACAAATTTTTTCATTTAATTTTGACTAGAATAATTGTTTGGCAAGATGCCGAAGAAGTCATGCATTATAACATTTTCACAAATGCTATTCAAACTTTTTATTGAATAATTTTAAGAAAATCGCAATTCGAACCCGATGTACAAAGTTCTTTTACTTCATAGGTTTCTGAAAAATATTCAATAGAAATCAGAAAATCATCTGAAAATCAAACTTTTTCCTACAGTTTTGGCACTATATTAAGTAAATATTAATTTAATTACACGTGGAAAATATCGATGATAAATACAAATGGTCTACGATAGTTGATAATATCAAGTACAAGTTTCCTAAAAGCTATAAATTCGAATATAACTCTGAGTCACGTACACAATTATATGTATAAATTATATTATTTACAAATTTTAATTAAATGCGCGTCAAGCGAATGACACACGCCATTGTTGCTCTAAAAATTCTATAAAAATTTTAGTTTATCTTTTATCTAATTCTTGGTCCTGGGTCTTTGGAATAGTCGATATCTTTGCAAAGCCTCTTTGTCATTTCCACCAAAGGTTCAAGTTCTTTCGGCTCGATGAGATTGAATTCCGTTACGAAGTAATAAAAGTGCTTGTAACAAGTATTCACATGAGCTTCCTGAAAATGTGACGTTGGTTCGTTTATTCGTAATCGGACGCGCGGAATTTTGCAATAAGGCTCATACTTACGGCCGATATAGCAATTATTCGATCAAAATGATGTATGTATACGTGTACAAAAACTCTGAAGAGTCTCGTTAAAATTTTTTTGCACAACGGTCCAAAAGTTTTCGGGAATGGCACATCTAGAATGACACATACGAACATCTGTTAAAGTAGGCATTGCGAAATATTTGCAAATGAAGAAACAAAAGAAAAGAATCGCAAGTACCACTCGAAACTGGGAAGTAACTCTCATCGTTGATTCTCTCTTCGATCCAATCCATCAACAAGGAGATGTATTGATAGGCAGGTAGAGCCGTTGGTTTTTTATAAGTGGCACCATCGGCCCATAAGTATTCGTAGCGAGAGCCTCCGCTCATCGTGGGACAAGACTTTGAGTCACAGAATTCGCACACGGTCCCATATATCAGATTGATTCGATTGAAAAAATCGACAACTGCGGAAAAATCATAGGTCTTTATCAAATCTAAATTTGACAAAAAATCTAAAAATGAACTAATTATCAGTTCAATTAAAATCAATAGTGTTTATAATTTTTCAATGATATTCGATCAAATAGTTTTTTCAAGGCCAGATAATAATTCCGATGACACAGTGTGTGCAATCTCAAGGATACTTTTTCACAATTACAATAATAATATTCAGAATGATCTCTTTACTTTTTCGGCTCAGCTGGTGAAAATTCAGCGAATAAAATTGTAATATTTTTAAATTTGATTCAGCTTTGACGATTGATAAATGAAGAAGAGCTTAAAAAAATTAAGAATCATTGTGTCGGCTCAGATAACTTACCGTGAACGGCAATCCAATCGTTCAATTCTTCACCGGGTGGTAATTTGACAGTGTCTCGCAAATTGATGCCCGAATTCAAAGAAGCCTGGGCTTGCTTGTATAGCGAGTAACGAAGCGTACCCTCGTTTATTCTCTTTTTCGGTCGAAACGTCTGTTAAAATTTGTAAAAAATTCAGCAATTAAAAATGACGGAAAATTCATAGTTGACAAAATTCACATTGGCCTCGGCAACTTTCGCCAAGAGCGCGAGGGGCTGCTAAAGTATATCAACCCCTTTCAACCCTTGCGATCGTTGTAGGTTATATAATTTATGGGCGCAGCCATAAACGCTGGGGACGTCGTCTCACCTTGCCTTTCTGAAAGAATTCGACGAAGCCGGTGAGCGACATGTTTGCCTATTCACATCACACGCTCGACACTTTCGATTTTCGCACTTGTATATAATTTCGGAGGCGCGCAGTGCAGTGCTGCTGCACATACGACAATTTGCACTGGTCGCTCGACGCAGCCTATTGACACTTTGTGCATATATACACAGTCCGTGCCGGTGCACACTATTCTATGCGTTACACGACAACACAGACGCTTTTTCCTCCTGTATACGATGGTTTCGGCGCGCACTCCGAAAATATATCGTCGTCGTCGTCGCGGAGCAGTGGCGTAATAATGACTGCGCGCGGATCAAAACTACTCGCTATGGCCTTATGCTACACACACACGTATACTACTACATTTGCGGCACGCCGCGTCTCATTGAGAATCCAGTCGCGACTATCCGCGCGCGAATATTAAATATACATGCATGCCCCCCCGACATCATGGGAGAGGGGGACTGTATTATACTCGAGGGTACCTGCGCTGCTCATCATCTTCTATATATAATACATGAGAGCGCACATCGTGCTATTTCGTATACGCGCTATGATCGTCGTCTTTCTCATGTGTATAGGCGAACGAATCCGACGAACGCGACGCGGCAAACTGGCCGTCAAACTTTAGACTCGTGCATCCATTTAAAATTCGCCACGATATTTTAACAGAGCGCGAAAAAGCTCCATCTGAAATCTATTGAAATATAAATGACTATGATATACGCGTGGATCGGTTATCAAATCAGTGAGTACGAGCGTCCTATCATCGCTCGATCCGCGTTACGCTATTCTTGACTGGCGTATTTTACATTGAAAACGCAACGATTGTAAATATACTCGAAGCAATGATAAGCCACGTTTGACATGCAGCTATAACGAGGCGTTATCGCGACTCTCGAGAGAGCGTAAAAACATCCTTCGAACTTGTAATAATATTTTCCTGCACATATATGACTATATTGACATCTAATTGTTATAAAAAAAAAAAAAAAAAAAAGAAAAGACCGATGTATCGTGTAGACTGTCGAGAACGAAGCTGAACTCATTTCTTCAGTCATGAGAATGGAGAATTGTCAGCGATTCGACACTCGATGCATTTGACTACACAGTCACACTCGAAAGGTTGCTCGGATGAGATCGTCCAGTGAATGATCGACCTTCGTCACGATCGGTCACTATATATATCATCGTTATTTTGCAACGAAGCAAAACTATTCATTCCACTGTACTATAAATAATGGCTCCGTATTTAAACAAGTTCGGCTCCTCTGAGAAGATAATTCATGTACTTGAAATAAAACTCTGTCCTTTTTTTTTCGCAAGAGAGAAAAAGTGTCGCCGAGCAATAATTAATACGGGATAAAACTGGTGAGCCGCACAAGACGAACTACAAACCATATCGCAACTGTTTATTACATGTATATATATATATAGCACGATTACAAAGCGACGTCTCGGAGTCGAGTAGTCGCGGCGTTTTCTCGTTTTTTTTTAGTCCACATCGTAGGATACCGGATAGGTGGCGCCTCTTGTCCGCGCGCCAAGCCCCCGCGCGCGAATATACTTCACGATACAGATATATAGGTATTATACGTACTATACGTACAACTGCATGCTTATAATATATATGTATATACATACATGCTACACATCGTCCGAAGACTGCGCGCGACTGTGTGAGTAGGATTTTCGTTGTGCTCGCTGCGCGGCTGCTCTCTCTCTCTCTCTCTGTTGTCATATATATACTGCGAGAACGTCGACACGGACGGATGGCATAGGAGAGGAGGGCAACTGTTGCTGCACTCGACTCTCGGCAGTTCACGAAGCTCGCGGCTCGGCTGCTACTCCGTGTTTTCATATATATACCGTCTTCGCTCCGCAACGTTTATATACTACCACTATCTATATACGCGCTGTCTTCGTTTATAATAATAAAACATTATATAGATCTCTCGAGCTGGTGTCTCGACGTTTTTCTACGTGTCCAGTGTAGCTGCGCCGCATCTCTCGTTTCACCTTTCGATCTCTTTTCTCGTTCACCTTCGCCCGAACTTGCAGCTTTTCTCCTGCGCTGCGGACTTTGACTCGTCTCGAGTCGCGTTGTCAATTTGTCAAGCGCAGCAGCAGCCGGGGGGGATCGCGCACGAAATCGGCCTCGTCGCGTGTGGACCGCTGCTCGCATCTCTCTGCCTTGGCTATTCGTGAACAAGCCGAGCGTCAACAGTTACGAATTCTAAAATAAAAGGATCATACTTCTGTGCGTTTAAGTTCACCAGTCGAATTCGGAGCAGTTTTTGCGAGCTATATACAGTGTCGATCGTCGTCGTATCGTCGTCAGCTGCCCTCGCGTCTGGCATCGAGCAAAAGGTAAAATATTTTGCCTCCTGCCGCTCAATATGCACGTTATAATGTAATGTGCACTCGTATGTGTCGTTCGGTCGGTTCCACTGTCTTCTCCGTTTGTGCTTCGTGAGACTCGAGCGAATCGCACGCGCCAATGTGGATGTGTTAAAGTACAAATATAGTCTCCACGGTGAGTGCACGCACGAAGGAGAGAAAGAGCAAGAAATCGCGAAACAGAGAGAGAAGAGAGAAAACGACAGAAGGAGAGAGAGAGAAAAGAGGGGCACCGGTTATAACCACGTGCGCTCGTATTTTTTATTCACATGGTGTTGTTGAGTGTTGCTGCGCGCGCGATTCAATAGTTGATACACGTATGTAATATATACAAAATAAAAATGCAGTGTATTCTCGAGAGTGCGCCATTATATTCGACGTAGCTCGGTGAAGTGTAACAACGAAACAAAAAAAAATAAGAAGAAGAAGAAGCAAAAAAAAAGTGAACGGAAGAGGAGAGCGTCGGGAGCATATAACCGCAAGATAAGGCCTCCTCCTTCCTCGTCGCAGCTCGCCTTCAGCGGCGTCGAGCTGGCCCTGGTCAGCTGCTGCTGTTGCTGACGTTTTGCGGCTGGGCTTGCTGCTGCTGCTGCTGCCTCGTGCACCCATAAAAGCAGCGACAACGACGACGACGACGGCGACGACGACGGCGCTTCAAAAAGCGTCCCCGACTCCCGTGTAAGTATAAGCATAAAATAAGTATACACCGCTGCTCGCGCACACATAAACACACACACACACACATAGCTCCGTAATGTATACTACCCTTGCTTGTTTATCTTTATTTTTTTCTCTCTCTCTCTCTTCTTAGCTTCTCTTTGCAGCGTCGAGTTTTTATGCTCGAGTACTCGCGGCAATAAGCTCAAAGGGACGTCAGAAGGTAGTAGCAGTAGTAGTAGTAGTAGTAGTAGTAGTAGTAGCAGCAGCAGAGGTAGTGGATAGTAAGCTAGCTGCTACGTTTTTACCGGCGCGCCAACTCTCGGAGCGAGCGAGTTATCTTTGTTAGCCGCGCGCGCCAGAGTAAAGTCGAGTCGCGGATCGGGGTCAGTACTGCACACGTATACGTATATATGTACACAGCACACACACACACACACACACACTTACACAGGCGCAGAGTGCAGGATGACTTTCGTTCTCTTTAGTAGCAACAGCAGCAGCAGCAGCAGCAGCAGCAGCTTGTACGCTGCGCTCTGCATTATCGTTTTCGTAAATCAGTTCCACTTGGCTCGGAGAACTCGAGCTGCTCCTCCATCCTTTTTTGCATCTTCGGTTGTATATAGGCTTCGAATACGAAGAAAAATAAATGAAATAATCGATCGATCCATATAGCGTGTGTGTGTGTGTATAGGGCGCGCGCGAGACGTGTGCGACGCGCTTAAAACCCGATGCGCGATCGATTACCGTCGTCGTCGTCGCAAGTTCGCTGCTCGTATATATGCACACACGTACTCGGAGGCCAGCAGCAGCAGCAGCATAGAGAGAGAGAGAGAGAGAGGATTGTACGTATACGTAATTCGTCGGTGGCGCCCATACGTACACATGTATACTCTACTGCGTAGCGCATAGGAGATAACGCGAGCTGGCGATTGCTCACCGTGTGCCATATAGATCCTCGAAAAGCCCAATCAACGCGAAAGCTTCGTTACGCGAGCTTTTGAAATCTCCGATGCGCTGCACTCTCTCTCTATCTCTCTCTCCGATCGTGTGCCAAATAAAGTTCGTTTCGCCGACGCGAATTTGCCTGTGGTCCCTATATGTTTTATTCCGTATATCATACATAGTGTATAACTCCTGCGGACGAAGGCGTCGACTTCGCGCCTTGCACTATCCCTAAAAGCCCATCGATTAGTCTCTGTGCGCGCGCTGTGCTCGTCGTGCCTGTGATCGTCGCTTTCTCCTTAGTTGCAGTTTAGAAAAAAAAAAAAAAAAAAAAAAAATAGAAGGACGACGATTCGTGTCCTCTTCAAAATTATATATACGATACGCGCGGAATTCCTTTGTGTGCACGCGTCCTTCGCTCGTTTCCCGTATATTCCCCCGATGACGACCGAACAGATCGATCCTTACGCGTGCACTACATAAGTATAACAATATGTTATAAAATAACCTCTTGCGCAATGGCTTATTTATCGAACCTGTGCGCGGGGCAGCTGCATAACGCGCGCAGTGGCTGACATTTCTCAATCGTGTTTTGCTCCGGATTCCGAGGATGTTTTTTAAAAGCTATCGACGCATTGCAGCGTCTCGTAACGTTAGGTTTTTTCTCTCGCCTTTTTTGTTATCGGTATTTTCATTTTAAAATCGAACGAGGATCGACGAGTATTTTTCTTCTTCGGGATAAATATTTGTGACGTACTGTAACATCGCTACCGTCGATGCGAAAATTCTTTCTGTGCCTTGTCCTTTCATTTTTCAACTGACTTTTTACTCTTCGAGCTTAAATGCCAATTTCCAACATAATTTCGGTAACTAGGAAATATTCGATTGATCAATCGACGACAATTCTAGTATCGAGTCCGCGGAATATGAGAAGCCTCGTTCAAGGTCCTCATTAAAAGCCTCCTTTTAATTGCGTTTTTCGACTTTTCACTTATTTTCAAGCCCAACGCGGAGAGAGAGAGAGAGAGAGAGAGAGAGAGAGGCGTGTATCCCGAGCTCGAAACGTTCGTGCTGAAAATAATTGATGACCTACTGCAGTGCACTGCGAGTCCGCGCGTATATATACATGGAATTTGAGCCGAAATTGTAATGAATTTATTGTCCTGTTCGTCGTGTATTACGAGCGAGGTTCAACGTTCCCCAGCAATTTGCGCGGAGAAAACGTGATTCGACTATCGAACTCGATGCAGCAGCAGCTATATACTAGCCGCCTGCGAGCTTTTCACGCGCGAAGCGTTAAAGCGCGACTACCGACTGCACACGTGCACGTTATATATATATATATATAATATATACTCGCAGCCTGCGGTGTTGCTGCTGTTACTACCTTGCTATATACTTGCGTCGAGTGCCAAACTCAATTGTAGCTGCTCCGAGGGCTGCTGCTTTACGCCGTAATTCGAGAAAACAACAACATCGACAATTAACGAGAGCACCAACGAGTTTTTTCTTTTTCTTTTTTAACGGAGCGCGAGCTCGAGTGCATTGGGAGGTAAAAAAAAAAAAAAAAAACAACACGCGGTTATATACCTGCACTCGCAGATGTGCATACGCATAATAATAATGCAACATTTGGCCAGAGAGCAGAGCACCAGCTGATCCGACGCTCATTAATTCTATTTTGACTTTGATGCGCGCCACGCGCGGCGTAAAGTGTCGCGCGCTATCGCTCCGTGCATATATATACTGTATATGCATTGTGTACGGTATAGCACGTATACGTATACATAGCAAAGTTAATTAAACAACACGACCAATAATAAACTGTCATTATACCGGCAAATAATGCCATTGTACGTGACTTTATTTATGCGGCTCAATGAGATTGTTTGAACTAGCTGCGCGCGACGATGTTTTTTTTCGCCTCTCGGGTTTACGCGACGACGACGCGTCGCAATGAAAGTTTTTAACGAGCCTAATCAATTAAAAAGAGAAGTAAAATGCGACAAGCTGTTTTGTCGCTAGCAGCAGCTGGTTTATAGCCTCGGCTACGTTCTTCGCGGCGTCTATCCCGTTGTTGAATACATCTTAAACGCCAAATTAAGGATATGCAATTCCCAAACCCAAATTAAGGATATGCAATTATATACTCTGACCATTAACGGGGATGCGTCTCATTGCATCGTGGATTTAGCGAGAGAAAGAGCCTCGTTATCCGTGTCAAGATCATTGATTTTTCGCGGCATGCGTAAGAGCTGTCGCGCGCGCGCGCCAGTGTCAAACGAAAAAAAAAAAAAAAAAACGGGAGAAAAAATTTATTCGAGCCTCCCAAGTCGCTCGGTTCTTTTTCTTTTTCGACGTGCGTCACGGATCGCATAAAATTTCAGCAGAAAATATCCGCGTCGTAATTCAAAACTCTGAAGTACTCCGAAAATAGGCTTTGTCATACAATACTCGCGTTTTCTTGTTTTACCTTCGCTCGGGCACCTACACCTACGTTATGCATATATATACATACTTCGCGGGGTAGCTGGTTTTCATAAATGTGTGTGTGTATGTGTGCGTGCGTGTTTGCAACAATTGTTCAGCTGCGGCTTCGCGCGGCTGTGATTTCGAGCGGCCACTGCTGCTGGCAAGTGCCAGGCACGTGAGTTTTCGCGTGCAACAATCGTGCGGCAATGTTGAATTAGCGCGGAAATGCAGCCTCGTGCAAAGAAAAGGTACCTTCGGTATAATAGCGTAGGCGAGATAAAGAGCCGAGGTTATTACGTCGGAAAATAAATTTGTTCCCGAGGCAATGATATAATTGTACATTAATATCGCGAGTCGCAGTCGCAAAGATTTCAATATACTCGTCTTGTGCATTCGACTTGTATACGCGTCGCGTATAGTTAGCTGAAACACGCATCGACCTAAAGGAGCTTGCCCAGCTTTATAAAAATTACGCGATTGCCAAGTACATCCGCACGAATTGCCTTTGATAAAAAAAAAAAAAAAAAAACAACAACGCGAGAGTCAAAGCTCCGTTGCAGCGCGTGAAAATCCGTGCGCCGTTGTACTTTGATACCTCGAGTCAACGTGTGTAATATATAGTTCGGCGTGCGCGGACACGCCTGAAAATCGTCTCGGGACAAGCTTCTCGCGTGTCGCGGACATCTCGCTCGCTCGGCGCTCGCTAAATACGAGCATCGCGAGCAACGCCGTCGCACATGCACGTCACCGCCATCGTGCCCGAAATTGCGAAAAATGCGCGCTCCAAGTTGCAGGATCGCTTCGCAGCTTGGTCTAGCGCATCTTCGTGGCTTTGGGACACGCGCACGATTAATTAATAACACACGGACCGCGGCTATTCGAATCGCCCACTTCAATTAAGCGCCGAGCAAACGTACCGAGTTTCAGATTTCCTATATTTATGCGCCCGGATTATAGAACGCGACGATCGTCCGAGCGCGCGTGTCTCTGCCTACGATCGCGTTGATAGCTGCAGTTCGATAAAGAGCCCATCGTACGTTATAACGTATATGGGCGACGTACAGTTTACATTGTACACGCAGGCAAACGAGCCCTATTTTTAATTCATATATATATATCGAAGCTGCGCAGCATTAATTTACCACAGGAACATATAATATATATTTATACTACCTATGTGTACCTAGCTGCAGTAGATGTGACATATAACCGGATGAAAATCGAAACTTATGATACATCGATGTGCTGCATGTTTACTGATCGATGACCTTTACGCACTGCAGCGAATAAACACACGGGGACGCGTATATATAGACGACGACGGGGCCGGAACGCGCGTGTATATGCGCAGCTCGTTAACTCGTAGTTACGATAGCTGCTGGCATATACATAGCCCAAGCGTTACATATTTACCCGAATGATCGACGCGGGAAAAGGAAGAGCTTCCACGCGTTGCACGTATATAATACGTCGATAATGCAATCGCGATAATTTTTTGTCTGCATATTTACGCGCGCGATTTCTTCGCCGACTGACAACGCGTTTATACGCATCCGTCCTTTTCTTTTTTTTTGAGCTGTATATAGCCATTATCGGGCGTGCAT